TTTTTGGGGCTTTCCCCAACGTGGGGAAGGAAAACCCCATTTCCAGGTTTTTTTTTTTTTTTTTTTTTCCCCCCAGACATGGAGATTTAAGCTTTGATTTCACAACCCCAGGCCAGGTTTATTCATCTGAGACTCACCTTGTTTAGGAGCTGAAATGAGAGCAGCTCCATTATCAGAGGTGAAAAAGACAAAAGTGTTCCCACTGATACCCAGATTCTGAAGATGTTTTAGAATTTTTCCGATGCTATCATCAATTTCTCGCACAGCATCACCATATCTGAGGCAAAAGTAGATGCAAAACGTTAAAGGCAGCAAAAGAGACAAAGTGTCACATGTAATGCGTTGCAATCAGCCACAATGCTTTTAGTGGACGTAAGTTATACCTGCGCTGCAGAGAGGAATACATCTTTTGTGCATCAGGTACTGGAATAAAGTTTTCCATTGTCACTGCAAAACAGTGTCTCCTACCTGCAGAGTGCAACCTCTCTTGGGTATTTAAGAGTCAGAATGTGTTCAGATGTGAGCCACTCTTGGGCAGAAACCAGCAACTAATATAAATTCAGCTACAAAGTTCCTAAATATAGGCAAAGCCACTTTGCCATAGACTTGAAGCTAATAACATAGTTTTGCTCATGGATGCTGGTTTGAAAGTGCACCCTCAGAAGCCAGGCTCACAATATCTACAGAGCTCTTTGCCTCCTGCAAATTGTGTTTTTCATGCATGCTTTTCTACTCACTGGTCTGAGTTATGGGCTTTTAAAACAGGCACTAATCATACAAAAGCCTTCCAAAAAATCATCTGTGCCACATACAGCACTTCATTACTCACACAACTGGCAAAGGAGCTTAGACTCCTCCTTCACCCCCATTTTAGTCACATGATCTTCATTTCAGATTATAGCAAAATTATTAAAGAACAATCCAAGCAAAGTTCTCACTAACTAATGTATTCCAGCACACACATACACTTTTGACAAATGATCTATACACTTGGATTTAATAAACGCTGCTTAGGTTTTCTGTTTCTGCAGCATGAGGTATTAATTAAAAAAACCCCAACCAAACCAACACCCACAAAAACAAGACTTACAGTCCTCTCTGACTAGTGCCCAGGAAATGTTTGGAGGCATAAACAGGAGCGTGGGTAGCATCAATTGCCCAGTATAAAAAGAATGGCTGCTGGCTGGCCTGCTGCTTGCTAATAAAATCGAGAGCTTCCTGTAAACAACAATAAAAATTAATTTAATGGAATCATCCTCTGCCATCTAAATCTCTCCAAAAAAAGAAGCATAAAGTCACTGTGGCTTAGAAACCAGTATTAAAATATACAGTACCTGTAGGTAGATCTGAGTCAAGTTGGCTTCACCCGTCTTCAGATCAATTTTGAAATCTTCATAATACCTTAAGATAAAATGAATCAGAGAGGAAAAAAAGATCAATCCTAAGGAATACACAATATAAAAAGGCATTCTCCCCCCCTTTACTTACTGTGTAAGTAGGTGACAAACAGGTCACAGTTGCTACTCAGCAAACTCTCTTCAGATATTAAAAAGAATGTCACCATATTTTTTCTTATGGGAGAAAGCAGTGAAACAGCTAGATCCAAATTAACGATGACTGCAAGTTTTGGACACACCTGAGCCACCAACCTTTCACTGTTAAGCTATTAGAATAGGGGTAGTATGCTTAAAGATCCCATGTCACTACTCTTCCAATAGAGAGCTGTTTGATAGGCGAGTAAAATTTTCAAAAGTACACAACAACTTGCAGTGAGGTAGAGCAATCCTGAGAACAGAACTTGGGCTGCTTTGAAAACGTTATGTTTGAAGTATCTTTAGACACCAATTAAGCAAAGAAGGGTGGGTGGCAGTCCTCAGGAGAATAACAGCAAGCGAAGTAAGATGATACCAGGCTCAAAAGTGAATGGACAAGAATGGCACAGACTGCCGACATGGAGCATAGAATGGTGTTATGCAAACAGACAAAAGATTATTACAAACAGGAAGAGAAGGAATAAAGAGGTCTTTCAGTACAGAATGGAACCAGCTTCCAAGAGAAGTAGTGGAATGAAATCATCACAGGAAGCCTTTAGGGCGCAACGGGATAAGCAAACATCTCTGGGAGGGAGGCACTGTAGAGCAGGCACATCCCTAGATGGTCCACACACAACATGTGGGTTGGCCTGGGTACTCAGACCTTTATTAATCCTCAGAATCAAACATCTAGCTTCGTATTTTACAAGCTTCAACTTTAAATTTAGATGGTAAGGTAGAGATGAGGGAGACAGGATTCCTGCAAAGAGTAGTTTAGGAGTTTAGAATAAAGTTTAGTGGTCAACTACCACGCTGAGTCTCTAAGGGGCATCAGCACTGTAGAAGCAGGCCTGTGTTGTCTCAGCTTTAACTGGAAAACTGAGCGTGACACAATCACAACTGAGAAGCCGCAGGCACTGCCCAAGTAACAGTGCTTGAGTACCCTTTGCTGCCAGCATTGCCTTCAGAACCGTTCCCCCAGGACGGACTATCCTCGCTTCCTCTCCTAGAAATGCACATACTTCTGGACAGTTAATCTTTACCTTCCTGTCTCTGTCTGCCTCGTGCGTTCTCCCACAAGGCTTTCCCTTAATTCCATTTTAGCTCCAATGCAGACCACCACCCAGGCCTTGTAAGGCTGGATATTGGCCAACCCCAGACTAGAGGGCAAATCCTGTTCAAAAGTATGAGGGCAAAGCAAGAGATGAGATCCTGGCAAAGATGTTGTAGAGTCCAGAAATACGAATGGGCTTAGAAAAGAGACAAGACTTGTTCACAAAAGTTAAGTCAGTAGCTATTAAAGATCTGGACACAACCTTCAGTTTAGGAAGGTGGACAGCCATACAAGAGAAGGACCATTCCACGTATCTGTTTTCTTATACCCTTTCTGTAAGCGGTCACTACCAGTGGTCATTGCAGAGTATAAGGGATTAAATGGGCCTTGGGCCTGACCCAGAAGGTCAGGTTGGGAAACACATCCCAAGGTTCACGTGTCTCATTAACTTTTACAAGCATCTTTCCTGCACTGGCTTACTGCTGAACTGTGGGACACTCAAGGCAATCCGTAGTAAGCATCTTGGATCATATATGAGGCAGGATATTCCCAATGCTTGACACGCCATAAGAGTCCTCTGTAGAGGGTGAAGTACCTGTAGATCACCGCCCATCCAACCGAGCCTGTAACTCTGATTCTGGAGCAGCTGCTGTTTTTGCCGACCCCTTTTCACTGAAATGGGTTTGCTACACTAGCACTTATCTTCCAGTACTGTAATGTCAGCAGGGAAAGCAAAGAAAATAACATTACCAGGCAAGTAGCTGAATTACCTGCCAATCATTTCCCAGTCCCTGTACACAGGAATATTGGGGAGCGCTCTGTTATCAAAAGGTCCAAAATGGCAGTTCGGGGACCCAAACCATTCATCAAACCCATGCTTCAGGGGGTGGAACTGGGGCCTGTGACCCAGATGCCTAGGAACAAAAGAAACAGATGAGTTAAAATTCTACTGCAAAGAAGCAAATAATAATCTCATCAGAATGGAATGCAAGAAAACAATTTTTGCCTAAGAAGAAAAACTTCAAGCATTTTAATGAAATAAATGACTGCAGAGCAGTATCTTGAGCTTTCTCATACTTGTTGCAAGCGCATCCATGCAGACTCACTCCAGTGCTTACGTATATCCCATTTTAGTCTACTGCCCAATCTTTGTTTTCCATCATTTCCTTCCTTCTCTTGGTGTCTTCTCTCATGCTGTCTCGATGACCTGTACTGATGGACTACGCTGCCCAACGCCATTGCAAAGACACACATAATGTTTTACTTAAGGATTCTGATCTATGACAAGTCACTTTTATACCACTAAGCAGTAAAAACACAAGGTAAAGCTCATGAAAAGTACCATTATATGTGCATTCCCTTCATGGAGCATTCATGCTGCCAAAACGGTACAGAGACACCTGCATGTAAATGAGTCCTTTACATTCACATGTGAACATAAAACATGTTTAGCTACTCCTGATGACGGCTCCATTCTACTGTGCAGCTTGAAAATTCTCCATCCTTAACTTAAGATGAAGCTCCACTCTAATCTCCGACATGTAGACTGCAAATTCTCCATTTCCTTCATCTATATTATCTTGAATACACAGAACACCCATCCTCTCCCAGTCTCTAAAGGAGGTCTTTGTAGCTTAATGTTTATTTAATCATTCCAGCTTCCACTCACAAGCCTGCATCTGCAACCTGTCCATTTTGTGCCATCACCCTCTGCACACTTACTGAACATAAGGGGCATAAAATGCATTATCTGAAGTAAAATGGTCCACAGTGTTATTCTCAGCTATTCCAAAATAAGTTGTAACAGAAAATAACCATCATTCCAGCTATGATCATATCTTGGTGATGTAACTGAAACTGCAAGTCTGACCTGCAGGATTCTACCCCTTCCTCATTTATACACATGATAATACAAAGCTATTCCTGGCTGTTTCTACCACAGGGCACATGAAAAAAAATATTTTATTCTAAGAAAGCCCTAAGAGAACTTACAGAAGAAGAGACTTGAAAAAGGTATCAAATAATTACTGGGATGCTGATTATTCTCTCCCTCTCGCAACACAAAAAATAGAGAGAGATTTAATGAAATGCAACAAATCCTAAACCGGTCATGGAAAATACTTGACTTGCAAACATATAATTAAAGCGTGGATCTTACTATCACAGGAAACCCTGAAAAGATTTTAGAAGGGATATTGAAAGGATATAAACATCTTCTGCTGGAAAACTTAAAAAATTTTAAAAGCACTAAAATTCTATGCGTGGCTAGGATGAAACTCCAATTTATCTACTGTACTTTGCATTTCTTTACAGCTTTCTAGGAAGCAGGTGGTGTGCACAAATGATAGCGATTGCTGCTGCACAGTATCACTCCCTAGTCCTGTGCAGGGTTACCGTTCTTGGGTGCACGACGATAGTGCACTGCACATTCATATTTAGTCTGCTTCTTCCTAACAGCTGCCGGTCCTTCCAGATTTGCTGTTTTCCAGAGAACTGCCTGGAACCAATCTGTATTTGCGTTGTTTATTTCTTTTCCCTGGGTGTATGAATTTACATTTATTAGCACTGAACTGCATCTTATTGCATTCAGCCCACTGATCCAATTCTTCATGGCCACTCTGCTGTTTACATTTGTGGTAATAAATAATTCACTGTCTTAGGTTAGTTTGCTTTCTTTCCAATTTCAGCAACACCGGTGAATCCGACCACAATTCAGACTCATTCTTCTCTAACTTGTTAACGGACCTGTTAAATAAATTGTATCCCATTATTTTCCTAAGCGCTATCCCCCCAGTACTACTCCTGTCCGAAGTCTCTTCATTAACAATTACCCTGTTAACCAAGCAGTACTCCTCTGGTGTCTATGTAGTTTTGAAGTTGCTATTTATGCATTTATTTATTACAACACTGTTCCAAACTGTGAATCAACTGTTCAGAGATCCCCAGACCCCATGGGATTCCATTACAGCCCACAAGCACATTTGAAATTCAAATGTTACAAATGCACCAGTTCCAACTATTACGCTGTTAATGCCACCGTGCTTGTTTGATCTGAATATCTTTCAGGCTTTTCCCTTCCAATTCCTTGCAGACATCACAAACCCTTGGTTTTCAGAAGTTCTTCTGTATCCTCTACAAAGATTATCATTTCCATGAAAGTCTATAAAGGCAAAGGACAATATTCACAGAGTATTGGATCAGCCCTTTAGGTCTTTTAAAGCCCCTGGTATCAACTATCCCGATCAAGCCTATTCCTATCCACCCTGACCTTCTACACTTGATGAACAATCTTCAATATAGCCCTGCATCGCTATTTCTATACCATACACTTCTAACCACCACTCCCCCCCCCCCCAAAAAAAAATGCTTTCACAATTTAGTCTATTCTATCAACAAAAAAGCCCAACATATAGCAGTGCCAAAGATAAAAAGCATGTAGATGCTCAAGGCAAGTTCCAACAGAACATTCTGGTGTTTTTTGATTAAATTGTGAGATACATGGATGAAAGCACAAAGAGTTGAAGGGTTTACAAATATATATATACACACACACATAAAAACCTCTTCAACTCTTTGTATGAAGATATATGTATGTACTTGTAATGGTACCACTTAATTCGGAAATTGATCACAGCAGGGGGGAAGATCCCTCACGGATTTCAGAAGTTGGACATCTGAGCTTCAAAACACTTTTTCTCCTGCAGTTCTGGTGGTTGTTCTGCTCCTTCACAATACATACACACACATACTGAAATCTCAAAGCAAGAGATCTTAAAATAACTTTACCATTTGCCAATGATCTTATTGACGTAGCCAGCTTTCTTCAGCAACTCTGGAAGCAGTAATTCAGAATCTGGGATTCCTCCTACTATATCCTGTGGTGTGTATGCTGTGTAAAACAAACAAAAAATATCTCTGACTCTTACAAACATTAGAGCAAACAGCTCATGGCCACCCATCATTAGAAGCATTATCACTGGATCAGAAGTAGCAATTAGTTTGAAGTCCCAGCAATAATCACCCTTTGGAAGTCCTCCCAGGCCATGAGATGAAGAGCACAAACTGATTCAGAGGAGAGATTAAATAGAAATCTCCACCCGCTCGCACACCACTACCAATAATAAAGGGGGCTGCCATCACAGAATGAAGACGAGACCCTTGAAAGGGGGTGTCATAAAGAAAGCAAGGACTTTAGGAGCGCACTGCAGTTGCCTTTACTTCTGCAAATTTGCTTTATATTTACTAAAATGAAGGCATTTTTTTTTCCTAAATCAAATGATTGATAAACTTGCTCAGACTGCAAGAACTGAAAGAAATGATATCTTGCTCACAGTCCACAGCTCTCTGGCCCTTGAGAATCTAAGTTGTGACTTTGGCTAGGACAGAGACAGCCGAGCTTGCTTGCTGCTACACAGCGTGAATCGGTACGTAGCTGTCAACTCTTGCCCACGCACGCATGGTCTCACGTGGTATCTGTCACCCTGCAACCAAAATCAACCCAGAAATGTTACGAACTGGTTATCTCCCCTGGAAGCACCGCGGGCACAACAGTGCTATAAAAATGCCAAAGTTGAAACGGTTAGAAAACCGGCTGCTGAATAAAACTGTAAGGGCTTGTTCTTTACTCTGGGTCTTAACATACACCCCATGTGACTTTCTTTTACCAGACACCAATTAGACTGCCCAGAGGAAACACTTCTCAGCCAGCAGAAGCAAATGGATCAACCAGCCTTGTTTACGTCTTTTAACCTGAGGAGGTTTTCTGCTTGATGAGGAGGAAGCAATAAATTTCAGGCTTATTACCAGCAGTTTACATGGTAATCTGTTTGTGCCACTCTGGAAGATCCATAAGGGAAGATCACGGAGCCAAGCCTTTGTTCAAAGCAAAACTTCCTACAAAGCACAAAGGGAAATCAAGAGAGGAAGGCAAATCAGGAATGAAGGCCATACCGTTTCTGGCATGTGCATTCGTGGTGTAAAAACCATTCCTCACTGGGAGACGGCCCGTCAACAGCGCTGCTCTTGCTGCAAATAACCACAAAACCGGTTTTATTTTATGTACATTCTTAATATTAATGTTATCAAATTAAGGCTGAGGACGGTGCACTGACTGAAGCATGTCACTGTCCTTTTGCCACAGCCAGCTACTAAGATCACTCACATTAGAACAGGCAGTGACTCCCCTCTCCAGTGAGCCATGGAGATAGCCAGGTTCTGATATGACACCATTTGAGTTATTCCAGGACAAACCCAACTAAAATCTGGCCCCTCTATTAAATTACCCACTGCTGAAGAGAAATTACTTTCAATAGTCAATGTAGCAGCCCTTCTATCTCTGTAATTCTAAAAGGAACACCTGACGTATATATGCATGAGGAAATTGTAACACAAACCAATTACATGCTTAAGGCTAAGTTTTCAAGCTTACCGGAACAAAAGTCATGTAACAGTGAAGAAAGAGCTGTCCAGATTTGACAATAAAAGTCAGGTCCTGACTGCAGGAAACATTTAAACAGATGTTTAACTTTAACCATATGCAGCACCACCACTGGCCTTAGCAGGACTTCAGCATAGTTTAAATGCCTTTTCTGAGCAAAGACGTCATCAGCACCCTGACAAGTTATATCCAAAATGAAAGCCCAAATAAAAAGCCCCCGTTCCTCATTTTTGTTTCATTGCTTGGCTGCCAATTAGGTTCAAGGAAAAAAGAAAGGAAAAAAAAAAACCACCACCCCACAGAAAAACCAATAGGATAAAAATATCCATGTCTCCCAGACCCAAACGTTCCTTTTATCTCTTGTCACTTCCCCAAGAATCTTGCAAGCCACCAGGGTCAAAAGCAGTACACAACCTGGTGCCATTCCTTGCATGAAAGTCTCACCAAAGCCAATGGAATCAGACAAACTACGTACAATCTATGTTCAGCAACAATTTAGATACTGCTTTGTTTATCCCAAAATAAGAAAGATGAAAACAATGCATCGACTGAGGCTAGAATGCTAAACCAGAATGTTTAAAAAAATCCTTCAGATGGCCTGATTTGATCGCTAAAACACTGCTTTGTATGAACTGAAGATTGTAGGGTTTCCAATCAAAACGTAAATAAAAAGGGAGCAAAATGCAAGATCAAAGCACCAAATCCAAACTCTGCCCTGAGGCTAATCGCTGGTTTGGTTGTTAGTTCATGTCAGATGCTGGCAAACGTCCCAATCTTCTCAGAAGGTGGCATGTTTATATGCTAGTTTAAAACTCAAGTTTACTTACACGGAGAACAAAGGGGGTTGGCAGTATAAAAATCCAGGAAAAGCATCCCCTCCGAAGCCATCTGGTCTAAGTTAGGAGTTTCCTTAGAAGGCTCTCCGAAAGCTCCCAAATCACCCCAACCCATCTGTAAACAGAACACACCAAAAGACGTAAAAGTACTTTTACTCCTCCACAACAACAACGCTTCTGGGCCCACATAACATTTTTATTGTATCCCTTCATTTCTGAATCTTTATAGTACTCATCTCCTTATTTAGGGAGCACTTCACAAATGTGATAAAAATTATCTTCCCCATCCCTGTGAAACAAGGAACTATTGCAGTTTTCACTGGCAAAATGGGAAACCGAGGCACAGGTGAGATTAAATGACTTGCTAACAGGCATTAAAACACTTGTAGCAGAACTGGGTAAGAGCCCTAACGCCTTCACTCTTCCTCGAGTGCCTGAAGACCGGCAAGTGCACACATACCAAGGAGGAAAAGGAAATTACACATGATATGCTCAGTGTTGTACAGCTGCAAAGTCTGACCCCTCAGTCCCTGGCTATGCGTCTTTGTGTTGGACCATTGACCCCACGACTCCATCTCAGCCTGCTGCATCAATCTATCTATCCATCTGTGTATACGTAACTAGAAATGGAAGGAAAAGGTCTACACTCAAAGGCAGTGCTGCAGGAAAAGAGAGAAAAAGTGTTTATTTTAAAAGCAAGCTCAGGAGAGAAACCTGCCAGGGGCACCGTGTGTCCCTCTGCTGATTTGCAAGACAGCGGTTTCACCCTGCGTCCTCCTCCCAATCCAGAGAGGTCACACGCCAGGAGGACTGTAAAATTACCATCACACTGTCTCCGTTCATTGCTGAAAACTATTACTGATAATAATACAAATAAAAGTAAGCGACTTAAAACAGAAGGTTCTAGAAGGGAACAACTTAATGAGCAATTAGGCACCACAGTTGCTGGAGATTATATTATGCTTTAAAAAAGGCAATAGCTTTCTTTAATACAGATGCGTATCAGGTGAGCAACTGATACGGAGGGCATAATGTATCAAGATCTTTAGAAAACCATCTGTCTGGTCCCATTTGAGAGTCTAACATTTACACTGCAGTGGTGCAGTTTGGAAAAGAAAATTGTTGGAGAGCTGCAGAGGTGGCTGTTGAGGTTTGAGCAAGGAGCAATTAAATGGTACCACCTAACACTAGGATGCGGAATTAAAATGGATTCAACGGGATCACCCCCGAGTTCTTGATTCTTCAGTATCTTTATCATCAAAGAAAGAAAAAAAGAATATCGTGTTGCTCTAATTCACACACAGTGACAGAGTCACAGAAGTTACTGAAGGATCAAAGGAAAAAGACCATGGAGATGTATTTTTAATGAACAGCATATTAAATAAATAAATAGTTCACAGAAGCTCCAGTCAGGATCTGTGCCTCATCATGTCTCCTGCCATACCAACGCTTCTAGAGTGGGATAATCACTGTCCCAACGAGCTTTCATCTTCAAAATTACAAATGCCAGCTTGGGGGGAAAATACTCCTCAATGGAAAATTGAGGTGGACTGCCGGAGGCTCAACTGGCCAGAAAAACTAGGCTTACAAGGTAATTATCTTGTACAGGAGTGTAGAAGCACTATGAAAACAACAGTCATGTTGAATTGGCAGAACAGAGCCAAACAGGCGATAAGAGCTTGCCCACCCTTGGAGTCACGTACCCACCCTCATTAGCTTTTCAAGTAGCTTAAGATGGCACACAACTCATTTCTACCACAAACCCATCTGAAATGTGACATGAAAATACCAGAAATGAAGCAAAACAGGAAGATGGCAGCAACTTGAATGTGTTGGAAATGAATATATTTCCTTACCCACATGGCTAAGACCGCAACAGGGTGCAAAAACGAAAAAGTTTTACCTGGAAGCAAATCTCTGATTATTTCTGCTCTTTAATGAGAGTTAAGTCCCCCAGTTCAGAGAACAAAAATTTGCAGAGTTAGTTTTCTTCTTGTTTAGCTTTTCAGGAGGCAAGTTTGGGTTTCTAAAACATTTCCTGAAATGTATTGGAGTTTCTTTGCCTACACTTGTAGATGCACCTTATCACCAAGGCACCCTGTTTTTCAACATTTACCAGCCGGTGGAATCCTTTGCCAAGGACTGTGGAGTTAATTGCTGAGTCATTATGAACGGACTGATAGATAAGATGATTAGACTTATGATAGATAAGATACGTAGGTGTGTAGAGCACCTAATCCAAAACACTTGCATATGGGCTTGACTTTATAGATCGGAGAAGCTTAATTTGTTTTCCTTGTGTAACCAGCTGAGATACCCACTGGAGTCCATTCTGTTAGTGACACAACATCTCCAGAAACAGCAACTTCAATGTCTTGTTCTCTATAGCCACACTGATGCTACTGCTGTTAACACGGAATACCTCCTCACTAATTCAAATAACCACTTTGGTGTATGGAGATTACCCCCAGGAAGGAAGAATACTCCAGGAAAGGTCTGTCTAATACCTAGGGGCAATATAGATTAGAAACCAAACTGAAAAGCAACACAGCTTAAAGTTTCCCAAATGACCTGTTACTTTGTTAAGTTTCAGATTCTTTTGCATACCCACCCTAAAAATACCAGATATCCTTTCTCAGGAGAGAAAGGGAGGAGTAACAGGGTTCTAGATGACTGTGAGCCCAGCCTCGTGCAATACTTGCTAGGTTTTGTGTGTCTTCCAGCAGGGAGAAATTGTACTGCCAAAACCCAAAAACTTTACAACTTCCTATATTTTGAAAAGTTATATCGATATACTGGCTGTTCTTTGCATTACATGCAACACAAATGCAAGTCCAATTGCTGTTCTGTCAAACTTGCACACAGTGGCTGTGCCTTTTCCTACACACATTTCTGCTTTATGCATTATTCACTCTCAAAAGAAAAGAAACTTTAAAACAAAATGTGAAGAATCCTATCCTCACAGAGCATTTCAGTAGATGTGATGATGGGAAGTCGCAGAGGAAGGACTAAGCAATTCTGAAGTATTGTGCTTTGGAGGAAGATCTTGTTAGAATGTGAAACTCCAGTCCTATAAAAACTAAAATTTAAGGAGTTTATATTTCAGTTTAGGACATCTACACACAAGGAATAACGAGAGGTTTGTGCACAGCATCTCTAGCACAGGTCACCTGGGGCAGGGCAGGGGTACGCAGGGCCTGGGCTTTGCTTTCATTTCTTCACAACTTTTTACACAAAATCTGGAAAGAACTCAAGAAAGGAAGCCACCGAGCATGACGGCTTTCAGAGTAAGTACTCACAAATGTATTCAAATATTCCTGCTTATTTCAATCAAATTTTTCCAGATCATCTCATCAACCCGTGAGCTGCACCTGAATCACTGTGCTGAAGCCCTCTGACCATGAGTAATGGCACAGACCCCATTCACATGCTATCCCACAGGCGCTGGCTACCAACAAAGGGAATAGATGTAGCACACAGATGAACACGGAGGCCATGCCACCTGGAAAGGATGATGTGTGAACCTGGAAACTGCAGCCCAGGGAGGATCGTGCACATCAGGGAGCGCTCTGCTCCGCAGGAGTCAGCAAGACAGAGCTCTAGGGAGCACAGAGATGCAAATAAATGCTCGAGGCTCTCAAAACACAGGTCTTGCCAGGGCCAAAAATGGCCCCTGATGTGCACTTAGGAGGATGCCCAAAAAGAGTAATTTGCAGGATAAGGCTCACAGGGAGCCAGCTTGATGAAACCTCTAAAGGCCTCTGCACCAGCACAGCTTCAGACCTAGCCCATGCGCCACAACACTCCTGCGAGCTTGGGGACGACCCCCATGGCATCTCTGACGTGCTGTGTGCCCACCACAAGCAAATTTCCCAGGCATGGGCAGAACGTTTCTGACAGCAGCCCTGCTGCCAAGGCACCGCTGCTCAAACCCACCGAGCACCCGTTGCCAGGGCCTGGGAGAGGGGTGGGCCACCACGGGAGCCTCTCTGCCAGCCCCGGCACCCCGCTCTCAGCCCGGTGACAACCAC